CACTATTCGTTGGTAAAAGAGTATCCCAAGAATTAGCGGCGGTGGTGACTAGCTTTCACTGCTAAATTAGGGACGGTTATCGTAGATAGCCCTCGTGTAGCTTTGCGCGATATTCAAACTAAACTTTTTATTGTCAATTTTGAAAGTTAAAACTTCAAGAGATCACCAACACAAATCAACAATCTACTAAATACACTTTCGCACAGGCACCAAAAACACACACCCCAACTCAAGACACGCCTAAACAAACGAAGAACACACAAATGTTCAAACCCGACAAAATGAAACAATAAGCAAAATAACAGAAGCAGCCTAACATATATTTTATGAATTCCTATTACAATACAGAAACCAAAACCAAGCTGACAGCGCCACACTAATCATTAAAATAGCTATAGAATACCTAACACCATTACTACCACAGATCATGCAGTTACTGGTACTTCCACAAACATTACAGAACGCAACTACACAGCTAAAATAATATTCAGAAAGATGCATAACCTGACAACATAAAATGGACATAGCCCTGAAAAGGGGAAGCTGAAATAGAAAGTGATAGACATCCAAACGAGCTTACAGTAGAGAACATCAAACAAGAACAGTTCAGGAGGGAGGAAGAGGTCTACTTGTATCTGATCCTCCCAGGTCGCCAAGACCTAAATGATTGGTTGATTTAAAAGTCACGTGATAAAGTATTCTTTGGTATACGAGCAACAGTATCGAAAATGTAAAAATCACAACTGACTTATTAGGTTTTAATCGATATATTGTACGTATACACCTTATATTTGTGAATAAATCTTTCTAACTTTATTTTATGTAGAAAGTGTAATTTGGAGCTCCCAACTTCTCTTACCTAGCTAGCTACCTTAATTTTAATCTATCAAAAAATGTGTATTTCTATTTTTTAGTTTGACCCTTTGATACAGTTTGGGATCATGGTCCTCCCCAATCGGTTTATTAATTGTTTGTTTTAGCGCAGAGCTACACGATAGGCTATTTGCGGTCTGTCCACAGTGGGGAATCGAACCACGAATTTTAACTTTTTAATGCCCTTAATGGCACAGTGATATATCTGCGAACTTATGCCGCTACAAACCGGGTTTCGATACCCGTGGTGGGCAGAGCACAAATAGCCCTTTGTTTAACTTTGTGCCTGATAAATAACAACAGCGTTTTAATCGATATATCAATAAATATTATATTTAATAAAATTGTAAGTGTAGCACATTATTTACGTACGAGTGATGGATCCAAGTGTAATTAAGGTTAGTTAAGTATACAGGTGTGCCGTATGTAAGTAAAAATTCTGCTAACGCTGTTGTAGGTAGGAAAGGAGAAAATAATTTAAACGAGACATGGAACGGTAAAACCTGTAGATTGATACTCGCGCACGTTCAACGAAAGCGTGTAGTAACTGTAGTTCCTATTTTTTGTTTAATGTCTTCTTCGTGGGTCGGTGGTAAGTTCACAACGCTATAATCCGCATTTCATATGTCCGTAGTGAAGATAGTGTAACTTTGCGATAAAACAAACGATAACTATCTTATTCTTTTAATTCGAGAAATCGGAGAGTTTTACAAGCGTTGAAATGTTTTTCTTCCTTAAAAACACTGTCGTAGCCGGGGGGGGGGGGGGTATGCGGCCATGCATCCCCTTTTCGCTTCTATTTTTATTTTTCTACCAGGAAATAATAAAGTTTAAATATTATAAAATAAATAGAAATATGCAATATGAATGTTAA